TTTAATTGTTTAACTGTGATTTTTTTCATGATAATAGCCCAAAAATAGGTAAAAATTGATGAAAAATGGGAAAATCATCAAGATTGGATACTTTCAAAGGGCTGTAGCAAAAAAAGAAGTGCACCACCATAAGATTTTTTCTTCACCAATTATTTTTTTACAGTCATATAAACCCAAAAATCAGGTTAAGAAAAAAAGTTTAATTCTAGAAATGTTTGGCTCCTGACAGAGGTGTACATCCTTAAATGAAAAACTTTAGTACCATACAAACTTCGATTCTTAAACATGAAATTTTTAAAGATTTAATTTATTAAAAGTTAAGTAATATACTTGTATGTATTCAGAGTGAAGGTTCAAAATGCTTCAAATATGAAAGATAAATGAAATTTATATTGATGATATTAAGATACTCTGCAAAAATCATTTCCAACTTATGAAAAATGAATAATTGTGCACCTGCAGACACTATGTATAAAGTATTAAATTCTTGTGGCTTATAAATGGTAATATGAACATATTAAAAATATTGGATAATTTTCTAACCAGAAATAGATTGGTTATTATAGCCTGAAAAACTACCAGAAATTGATATTATTGTTTCTTTCCAATGGTTTATTTGCTATGATAGATAAAAATCCAAAATCCATCAATTATATGTCTGGTTTGCAGTTTTTACCTTCTGGTAAAATTTTTATGAATAATCAGATAGATTGGAGAAAATCACGAATTTGGTTGTTTTAGTATGAATTAGTAATACTGGCCTTTCATTAAATATTGATGAAAATTATGTGTATTGAATTGCTGACGGGCAACTCAATACACAGAGATGACTGTCATTTCTGACGGTCACACTCGGTTAATGCTATAACCGATCGGCAGTGAGTAACAGCCATTTGTCATAAAATTGAAGCTCATCATGCAAATTCTGCTTCATCTAAAAAGGAAACTGAAGTTTTGCAGGTCTTCGCTTCAATGAACATTTGTCATTCATTAAACCAAGATTAAAAGTTGTCTTTGATCTGACAATCTTAATTATTATCTTTAACAGTGTTATAGAAGGTGTCCAATATCCTTAAAAATATTAAAAAAATACTTTTATGAATAACAATATTTAATGGTCCTGTTAGAAGAATTCATTAAATAAATTTTCTTTTTGAAAATGTTGCAGTTTTATAGATTGTAATTAAGATTTCAAACAAGGCATATTTTTTTTTGTAATGAAGGCTTCTATGTCATTTATAAAGCCTAAATGGACTTTTTTTAATCTTTAATCTACCATGCAAGTCTTAAGGTAAATGAAGTTCTCTGTGACATTTGACTTTAAGAGCTACCTGGTCTGGATGTGATCCTGTATTTAATGAGTCTACTTATAAATGCTGGCCCAGACCAAACATTGTTCATGATTTTATGAACATTCATGAACAACAGTACATGAGGAAAGAACAATCATTCTTTAAAAGTGTTTGAAATTTTTTAAAATGGCAAAATTATGGAAAATCATTGATTGGGAAAACTATTTATGTAAAGATAACTATAGTGCCAGGGGTAAAAACCACACTAACTACAAAAACTATTATATACCAATAAATTTAGTACACCTTGTAGTTTTTGTCGAAAGCTCGACATAGGAATAGTGATCCGGCGGCGGCGTTAGCTAACTTCTTAAAAGCTTTATATTTTAGAAGCTAGAAGACCTGGATGCTTCATACTTTGTATATAGATGCCTTATGTTACGAAGTTTCCGTCTGTCATATGTCCATTGTCCTTGACCTCATTTTCATGGTTCAGTGACTACTTGAAAAAAAAGTCAACATTTTTTGTAATGTTAATTTCTTTCTTATTATGAGTAATAGGATAACTATATTTAGTATGTGCGTACCTTGCAAGGTCCTCATGCCCGTCAGACAATTTTCATTTGACCTCCACCTCATTTCATGGATCAGTGAACAAGGTTACGTTTTCGTGGTCAAGTCCATATATCAGATACTATAAGCAGTAGGTCTACTATATTTGGTATATGGAATGATTGAAAGGTGTACATGTCCAACTGGTAGGTGTCATCTGACCTTGACCTCATTTTCATGGTTCAGTGGTCAAAGTTAAGTGTTTGAGTTTTGGTCTTTTTTTCTAATACTATATGCAATAGGTCAACTATATTTAGTATGTGCGTACCTTGCAAGGTCCTCATGCCCGTCAGACAATTTTCATTTGTCCTCGACCTCATTTCATGGATCAGTGAACAAGGTTAAGTTTTCGTGGTCAAGTCCATATATCAGATACTATAAGCAGTAGGGCTACTATATTTGGTATATGGAATGATTGTAAGGTGTACATGTCCAACTGGTAGGTGTCATCTGACCTTGACCTCATTTTCATGGTTCAGTGGTCAAAGTTAAGTTTTTGAGTTTTGGTCTTTTTTTCTAATACTATATGCAATAGGTCAACTATATTTTGGTGTATGGAAATATTTTATGATGTACATGTCAGTCTCACAGGTTTTATTTGACCTTGACCTCATTTCCATGGTTCATTTCTCAGTGTTTAGTTTTTGTGTTTTGGTCTGTTTTTCTTCAACTATAAGCAATAGATCAACTATATTTGTTGTATGGAAGGATTGTAAGGTGTATATGTCTGTCTGGCAGGTATCATCTGACCTTGACCTCATTTTCATGGTTCATTGGTCAATATTTAGTTTTCTTGGTTAAGACTGTTTCTTAGAAACTATAAGCAATAGGTCAACTATGTTTGGTTTATTGAATGATTGTAAGGTGTACATGTATTTCTCGTTTGGTTTATCTGACCTTGACCTCATTTTCTTGGATCATGTTAAGTTTATGTGTTACTTGTAGTAAAGCTTTATATTTAGGACTATCAACATAAAATCAATGGTTAGTAAAGAAGGCGACATTTCAGTGTGTGCACTCTTGTTTCAAATGTGTGAACAATATAACAAATTTTATAGAATAGTCATGTGTAGAATTTTCTTGTGATTGTACATTTTGAACAAATAACTACAAAATTTGGCCATGGAGTCCCTTGTCATGCTTGTTCAGAACGAAACATATTAAATACATTTTTGGGGGATACTGGTCATGATTAGGAAAATTGGGACTGCCTCTAACTGAGAGTAAGTTCTAGATTTTGATATCTAATCATATATATTATCCTATTTGCTTTGATTGAAATTCTTCAGTGCATTGGAGGGACTACGTACTTATGAGGGTTTTTAACGACCTTGACTGGCTATAAAGCCCTCGGTGGTACTTCATACTGAATATTTTCTAGGTGAAGGTGGCATAAAATGCAAATGAAACAATTGGGTAAAATTCACAATATAGACCACCTAATGTCTGAATGCATTGAGGTCAGATTATTTATATCTTCAGGTACATGTTAAATGCTTTGTAATATTATTCAATCTTTTTACACCCATGGATAATAAAAGTCTGCTGATTAGCCCATTAAACTGACTTTCTATTGCCTATAGATTAAGGATGCACAAAGATTTATAATCTGATAAAAGTGCTACTGTAGCATATTCTTGCCAACAAACAAGGCTTTACTTCCATAGAAATTCAATTATTTCGAAAGCGGTAGCTTCATAATTTAATTTCCAATGAACAAAAAATTGAAATTATCATGTAATCATCTAAGTAAGGTTGAATTTGGTGAAATTGATCATACTGGAAAGCTAGTTTATTTTCCCATTAGCAGGTTATTTTTGTTATTTGACAACTTTACACAGAAGCTCTTGTATTTCATTTTGGTTTATATGTCCCAGTTTTAGTTCATTCAAAGTCCTGATATTAGATTTGAGAAGATAATTGGTCAGGAACATGGAGGAAATAAAGAATTGCATCATTTCTTTAATTGTATATGACCTATATAGCTAGGTGATATAAATAGTCAATATTTCACCTGTTTAACTTTGCTATAAACATCTACAAAATGTAGATATTAATCCTGCCTTACTTGCTTACTTTTGTTATGTGAGATAATAATATTTATATATTATAATCCACCCTCAAATGATTATATTACAGGAAAGGCCTACTTCTTAAAATGTATATACAGAGTTATAAACAGTATAAATGCTTAAAAGAACAATCTTTTATAACTTGTGTAGATACATAAATACACTTGCAATGTTATTTTTAAACCTTAAATGTATTCCTGGTACATGCATATCAACAATCAAATGTAATTACCAGTATCACACTATAGGTCTTAGATATTTTTTGAAAAAAATTAGTCATCCTAATGTCATGTAAACAGTTTAAGATGTCCTTTGGTTGCTATCTCATTGACATCAACCTCACTTCCACATTTATCAAACATTTTTCAGGAATACATGAACAGTTTTTGTCCTTGTTTTATCTTCATTTAAAAATGAAGCAATTGAAAATGTGGAAATAGATGAAAATCTAAGGATATTTTTGATAAGGCCTTAAATTTAATGGCTACTATTATTTTATTCTTAAGTTGTATATGACAATACCACCTGTGACAGTCTGTTTATTATCCCTGGTGTCTTACATCATATGTCTTGTAACAGCAGCTGTTTGACCTGTCAAATAATAAATGTAATTATGTAAATCCTCCTTTGGGCTTCTTTTTAGAAAAAGTCCATCCATGCATACATTATCCTGTAACTCTTTTGCAGTTAAATCAAAATATACATTATATATGAGGTCCTAATTTTAACTTAAATTTGAAAAATGACACTGTAACTGAGAAAAAATGTTTTGAAGTAACAGATTTCCTGATCCAGATGTTTCTTCCTGTTAGAAAAAGGTTCAATTTGGTTATTTCGTCATAAAGTAAATTTTTCCTTTTAATCTTAACATAAAAGTAGGACCTCATAAAATTCCTTGACAGATGAAAGTTGGTAGCTTACATTACAAATAGTTATGGGATGTCGTGACTGCACCAAAAATCGAAAACAAACATTTGTTCTAAAAAAAAATTGAATACATACAACATATTTTTATATTTTACAGATAGCAGTTTGTTAGAAATTGAGAGCACCTTAGTTCACCAACACAGACAAACAGTTAAGGTCATGATTTTCAGGAACCCAGATTTACATCAAGCATGCAGTGAAAATCTATTATTAGTGGTTTATTGAGATAATAGAAATCTGCAAGACTAAGGTAATTTCTATTTATCTGGCTGTATATAATAAATTAGTCATTTCTGCCCAGGAATTCCAACATAACATTGTTGTAACCCATAGTCTAATATATCTATGGTCTGGCTGCTCTGGCACACGACTAAGGGTTTTGGATTTCACCATCTTAACAAAGTTGTAATATTTCACAAAACTTGGAAAGATAATCCAATTCTTACAGCCTTTGTTCTTCCTTGTGCTTTACATGATATATTGATAAAATAATGAAAAATTAAGATACAAAACCTAGAAAACCATTCTTTGTATGAAATTTTAATAATTTTGACATTGTTTCATGTACTGTATCTAAAGAGATAAGAAATAGTTCTTTTACTGCTGTTATTTAGATAAAAGCGGTGGTTTCAGTACCAGTTAAAAGTGACTTTTATACAATTAATGTTGTAAAGAAAACATAAATATCAATTTATAATGAGATACCTTAGCTTTAATGAGCATATGAACATTTCTTTCTAACATTATTTGTGTAATTATTGGCACTTCAATTGTTAGAGAGATAATTTTAGTTGAATATATAAATTCATCTTTGTGTCAGTTTGATTCATGAAGCTCTAGTTTGTTTGAATTTTGCCAAAAGCATGAGCTGCTGAATTTTGATTTTGCAAAAGTATGTTTCAGATATTTTTTGACATAAAGTGGTACTTCTACTTCTTACACACTCAAGAGGCCATCAAAATCTCTTCTAGTTGTAGGGATATTTTGATTATTGAGGATTCTGCAAAATGTAGTTTACACGACGAAAAGTGTGTTCTGAAATTCCATTGTATTCTAGAAATCAAAATTCATTGTATTCCTGTAAATAGAAAGAAAGGAAATAATCTTATTACAGTTTGGAGAAAACATGTGTATAAGAGGACAATTAACAGTAGTGACTGTTCAGAACTTATTGACAACTGCATATTGAAAAATAAGGAGATGTGGTATGAATGCCAATGAGATAACTATCCAGCAGAGTCCAAATGACATGAATGTAAGAAACTAAAGGTCATCAGACTGCCTTCAACAATAAGCAAAACCCACACCATATGGTAAGGTTCTGACATGACAAAATGTGAAACAATTCAAAGAGGGAATATAATATTGTTATCTTTTGGTCCTGTTAAAATAGCTTGTATTTAAACTTTTACTACTGGTAGTTATCTAATGACAGAGAGTTTTATACATTGCAATTTTGTTTACGGGTCTTTTAGCTTCCAACCACAGAATAAGGCCATTACCCTCATCACATTTTCCCTAATAAGATTAAAGGATTGCCTTGACATCATTATCTTAATTTTACTTATGATTTATTTTAATTGTTTCCTTCTTTTCACTAGTCTTATACTTTATGTCAGTTAACTTCAGATGTGAAAGGAGGATTTTGTGGAAATATTTTATTAGCAATTATTTTAGATATAAGAAAAGATATCAACTATTACGTCTTAAATAATTAGAAACTTAGCTGATTTGTACCACCATCTGGGAGTTGTTTTTACCATAATCTGACTGTGAGGTTGTTAGATAGTCTGTGGAGACTGCAATGATTCCAAAGATAATTACTATATATCTTACACAACAGTTGTACAGACTAGGATTGTCAATTTTCCTATCGAAGGTCGGTGGTTTTCTCCGGGCACTCCGGCTTCCTCCACCAATAAAAACTGGCCGCCATGAAATAGCCCAAAAGCGGTGCTTAAAAGTGGCATTAAAAACACAAAAAATCAAATCAAATCAACAGTCGAACAATACTCATTTCTGTTGTGCTCTAGCTAGAAGAAGATTTGTTTAATGCTTATTTTTCAGTTAAATTAAAGTACAAAAGGATGCTGAAGTAGAAAATAAAAAGTGATTTTAAGACCAACAAATCATTCTGTTTTATAACTGTCTATGCCATACAGCCTTCAACAATAAGAAAAAACCTATACTACCAATATATATATATATATATGACCCAGCATGTTAAATACAAAATTATTCAAAAGAGACAACTAAACGCCTGATTTATAAAGAAAAAAAAACACAATTACAGCAGACAGCAACCAACAACCACTACTGGATTACATGCTTTCTATGACTTGGCACATGCACTTAAAGAATGTAGCAGTGTCCTAAGTAAGATTCTTTCACATATACTAGTCTATTGGAAAAGGAAATTCAGACAAAAATAATTATATAAAACCTTATATATAAACCACTGGGTGTTGATTAATGTTGCTTTTAAAGGGCAAGCAGGTCTTGCTGAACTTGTGATGCTCTTCAGGTTACCCTATGTGACATATGTTGTATGATCTGAGGAGAAATGTCTTTTGCATAAAAACTTTTGAAAAAAATCAACAAGAGTCTCTTTATTTATTTTTTTACAACTTTCATGCAAAATTCTTCCATTTCACAGCTTAGAGGTTTACTTTGGAATCACCAGTTGATACAACATTGAGTATGGCTCATCGGTACTTAAAGGTTATATCATCTTCAGTCAGTATGGCATGCATCAAATGATTCTTCAGCTTTTTATATTTTAATCTGGATCATAAATACATTTTAATAGACAAATTAATTGAGCAAGATGATACACTAACATTTATAAATAGATAACTAATTGATTGAGTCTGCTGATTTTTGAGGTCATGTGTACTTAACATTGTGACCTTGACATTATAGCTTTGCCAGATTTTACAGTAGCCTTATACCAGGTGTGGCAATAGAAAAAATCAATCTGTAAGCATTTTAGGGAAAGTTTTCTGTTCTTCTTTGATAACAGATTTCTTGGTGGTATACTTGGCAAAGAATAACTCTTAGATTAGAGAAGAAATCAGTGTAATTTTGACGGATCATTGGCATCTCTATCAGTTAGTACAAAATATATTAATAATTGTGCTATATTCATAAAAATGTTAACTATTGGCATATTTCCTGATAAATTATCTATTTTTTGTCTTCCAGGGTGAAGATTTTTAGTGTCTTGTCATTGACCTAATCAAATAATCATTACTTCTGATAAGTGGCTGTGTTGCAGTAGCAGAAGAGAATAAAATGCCAGCAGACGTCATACGGAAGCCTGATCAATCCTTGACATTCAAAACTTTGATGTCATCATTTGGTGATCGACAAAACACGATATGATCAACAAAGTATATTTGCATCAATGTTGTGGAGAAATGGGGCAATGATTGCAAAGCTACTGCACTCATCATTATATAATGAAATACTTTTTTGTAATAAATGTATGTAACAGTTGTCAAAGTTTTAAATCTGTTTAAGATCACCTGCAATGATGAGCAATTGATTCCTTATTTAGATCTTATTACAGTCTGGAGGAAAAAGAAAAGTTTTAATAATTTGATATGCTTATTACTGCAACAGTAGATTGTACAAAAAAATCAACAAAAATAAGTAACAGTTGGTAAAGTACAAAGATGTTATAAGGATTGTATAAACATGAAAAGGGCCTAATAAGACTATTTTGTCTGGTGCAACATAAAATACAAGGCTGTTGTAATTAAAATGACTTCATTAAACTACTGTAAAAAAATCTGTAAGTAAAAAAAAATGTTTTTAAGGATTGAATTAACATGAAAAAGGCCTAACGGTAATAAGACTGTTTTGTCTGGTGCAACATAAAATGCAAGGCTGTTGTAATTCAAATGACTGCATTATACTACTGTTAAAAAATCTTTAAAATTCAGCTGTTTCCATCCAAACAATATAACTGAGCAATAATCTTGCAACAGCAAAAGTGAAGCCAAGCAATAGACACCAGATATCACCAAGCAAACCAAAGAAAATGTATTCAATTTGTTATAAGTTTAGGTTAGTTATGTATCCTGAATATGACTGTAATACTGGTCACTGGACATTCAGCAGCCAATTATCAATTAATTCTTACTGAGGGAGGTGTAGGACATATGTGTGATGTAAGGTCTTTTAATAGCCTGTCTGTCCTGTTCTATAATGTATGATTGAAAAAAAAATCTGAATTTTATCTGGCTTAGCTTTGCATAAAAGCACCAACCATTTTGGAAAATTTGCTTTATATAGGTAGTTGATAACAGTCAGTGTAGTTTTGAGAACTTCTCACTTCCAATTATTTACACTATGTCATGAACTTGGTAAAAAGGTGTATTTACAAAAGCATAACCTTGAAGCATAAAAAAACATGAAAAAGAATGTTATGGTTCAAGTAGTTTTTACGTGTGCAAAGAATATTTGTACTATAATGGCCATCCTTAATGATCAGGGTGAGGAAAATCTTTAATTTTGTGAATTCCATTAAGAATGTGTTAGCAATCCAGTTGTCTTGGGCTAAATAGCACTTAATTATAAAAACACACAGTTAGGAACAGCTGTAGAGAAGAATTTTCTCACAAAAATTAACTCCTTTAATCATATGTACCAAAGACAGTTAATCCCATGTTGTGTCAACTAAAATTAGCAAATGGGGGTCACAAGGGATTGTTAAAAAGGAAGAAAAAAAATTCTTTCAATGTTGAAGTGTAATGGCCTTTTCTTTACATTTATACAGAACTGGTTGTTCTTTTAAGTTAAGGACACCTTCTCTAGAGTAGACCATAGAATTTTAGGAAGTACCTGACAACCTATCACACATCTTTGCATATGAACAGGCCAAATTTTTTTCTTCTTGAGTGTTAATAGGCTAAAGTTATCATTAAGTATGGGGAATTATATTCCTAAGGATTAGTTTTTTTTGCTCTACCCCCTTTCCAAAATGTTGTCAACCCTAATTTGTGGTCAGGAATAACAAGCTAGATTAGTTCTTAATCCCATATATGTATTGTACTCATACACACGGATAATATAAAGGGAAATTATCCATCAATTATTTAATTTTGTTGCGTGTAAAAAACAAATAGATCAATCAAGGATATCTTAAACTATCATAGATAATCTTACTGGTGATGGATATTAATAGGTTAATTGATTCATTGATTGATTGCTGTTTGCATAATGTCCAGTAGCAAAAATTTCAGGCATGAAAAGAGCATTCAATTGGAATGTATTGCAAGGCAGGTCTTGCATGTTTGAAGAGCTGGAAATATGACACTGCTAAAAGATGGTGTGTTGAAAAGAGCTAGAAATACTATGAATACTATGAATACTATGAAATTAATGTCAGATGACTGCAAACCTAAAATGAAGGAAAAAAATTACATGTTAGCATGGGATGATTGTTTTCCAAATAGATTTTGTTGGTCACTCATCAAATGTAGTGGGTAGCCCATTTGAACCACTTGTAATCCATTCAGTCTATGACTAAAATGCAGTTTGATGAGAGAATTATTACCAATAGAAAGTGTCTCATGAACATTGAACATTTCATTACCGGAGTATACATCATCAACAATTGTGTAAGATTTGCTGCAATCAAAATCATAAAACCGACAAAACTTGAAAAGAAAGGATGAGAGATGGATTGTGACAATCTCGTGAAATACTAGGAGACACCAAGTATATAAATATAGATTCTACCACTGCATCGAGTGTGATACGATATTTATCCACTCGAGACAGTTAAATTTTCAAATTTAAAACGCGAGGCTCGCCGAGCGTTTTAAATATTTAAAATTTAACTGTCGAGAGTGGATAAATATCGTATTACACGAGATTTGGTGGTGGAATCTGTTTCTCTAATGATTTTCAAACAATACGCAGGCAAACTTATTCCTTCTTTTCGAAATCTGCAAAAAGATGTGTTCTTTCTATGTGACGTCATCAGGCATGGTCGCCTTTTTTCATGCCGTCACAATAGGAAATTCAGAGGAAAGCAAGAAAATTCGACGTCATAATCGGATTTTAACCAATGAAGAACTGAGATCAAACGAACCACACGTTGATTACATTTTTTTTATACAATGGGTGCAGAAAGGGATAAATTGACGAAGAATTAGAGAAATAAAAGTAACAACTTTCACAGACGTTCTAAACGCATGTCATTTGTATCCATTTAAAATCGTTAAATGCAGTAAAACCCTTGAGAGATTCCATTTAATAAATGGGCGTTTGTTCCTGGTCTGGGACATTCTTACAATAATACTACTTAAAAAAATTAACATGCAACATTAAATAACGTTATGCAAGATCATTTCAGCCTAAAAATAAATCATCAGAAATCATGTTGGAACCTCGTGAATACGAAAATGGACAATTTAATTTTTATAAGAAGCGACGGTGGCCTAGAGTTAACTTAAAAATTAAAAAAAAAAGTCTTGTATGTATACTTTCTAATATCTATTGGTCCCAGAAATATGTCAGCCATGATTGATTGTAGGTTGCATAATGCTAAGTGGCAAATATTTCATGCATGTTCAGGACAAGAACAAATTAACAATAAATACAATAGGTAGGTCATATTATTGAGGCTACCACTGGAAAATGGTGGTATATTGGATAGGAACAGAAATTTTGTGTTGTAACAGGCCACCTACTGACCCATCGGCGTGCGAAGAGAGTGGCACTCTCTTACACGAGGCATCGGATTTGACATCCCGATTTGCGTACTTATACAGCCCCGGCCACTTTGGCAAGGGTATTACTACGGGTCGGAAAAAGACCAAAGTGACCCTATTTCTATTCCTCAGTCACCCTTGGGCTAATTACTCATTTGAAATTCTCAATTGTATACAAAAAATCAAGTTTGTGTATGCTAGAAAAGCAGAGTAAGATAAGAATGATCTTCAACTTTATACTTGTTTGGTTTTCCAAAAAAATTTGATTTGAGCGTCACTGATGAGTCTTATGTAGACGAAACGCGCGTCTGGGGTAACAAATTATAAGCCTGGTACCTTTGATAACTATTGTCATTTGAATGAAATAATCCAATGTTGATTTAGAACAAAACGGCAAACAACCACTCCGACAATTAAGATATCAAAACATTATCGGGAAAGATGGCACAATAAAAGTGCAATAGATGAAATTTCTTTAACAAAAATAAAGTCTTGTGATCTACCATTTCATGTAAAATGTATGATTATCAAGGTTGAAGATGGACTTCATACTGTTAACTGTAAAATATCGCCATTTTAGTATTTAACGAATTGTGGTCTATTAATAAATAGTAACGACGCCAGTGGCGGATCTACAACTTTTCATAAAAGGGGGGGGGGGCGCTGACTGACCTAAGGGGGACCCGCTCCAGTCATGCTTCAGTGATTCCCTATATAATCAACCAAATTTTCCCCACAAAAGGGCCCCCCCGGATCCGCCTATGGACGCCCATGTTAGTTAGCGGGATATCGATGCAATTTGAAACTCGACTCCAGTGGATAATGTTTTTTAAGAAGTTGTTGAACGCAAAATGACAAATTATGACATGATTGGTGAGCTAATAAACATGGCAATATTTGGGATATTTGTGGTCCAAAAGTTACGTTAATTTAAGGAATGACTGCATGTGAATTTTTTTTTCTGTCTATGAAGAAATAACATCAAAAATTTGGTGCACACTGAGTAGCGGGTTATTTAAAAGTGTGCACCACATTTTTGATGTTATTTCTTCATAGACAGAAAAAACATTAGTCATTCCTTATAATTTTAATTTCTTAATTCCATTTTTGTCGAGCCTGCGACTTTTGTCGCAGAAAGCTCGACATAGGGATAGCGATCCGGCGGCGGCTACGGCGGCGGCGGCGTTAGCTAACTTCTTAAAAGCTTTATATTTTAGAAGCTAGAAGACCTGGATGCTTCATACTTTGTATATAGATGCCTTATGTTACGAAGTTTCCGTTTGTCATATGTCCATTGTCCTTGAACTCATTTTCATGGTTCAGTGACTACTTGAAAAAAAAGTCAACTTATTTTGTAATGTTAATTTCTTTCTTATTATGAGTAAGAGGATAACTATATTTAGTATGTGCGTACCTTGCAAGGTCCTCATGCCCGTCAGACAATTTTCATTTGACCTTGACCTCAATTCATGTTAAGTTTTTTAGTTTTGGTCTTTTTTTCTAATACTATATGCAATAGGTCAACTATATTTGGTGTATGGAAATATTTTATGATGTACATGTCAGTCTCGTAGGTTTTATTTTATTTATTTTTTTTCATGGTTCATTGGTCAATGTTCAGTTTTCATGGTTAAGTTTGTTTCTTAGATACTATAAGCAATAGGTCAACTATATTTAATGCATAAATTGATTGTAAGGTGTACATGTCTGTCTGGCAAGGTTCATCTGACCTTGACCTCATTTTCATGGTTCATTGGTCAATGTTAAGTTTTC